CGAGTTGAAGAGGAGCTATCAGGACCCTGGGCCGAGCGGCTTGAATAATGGCTTGCCCTATGGAAGCAATCTTTCGCTCTGCACTCTTTTCGTTAAATATTGTTCTCAGAAACAAATACAATACGTTTCAGGTAGAAAAGCGCAGTTTTCATCCAAAGACGAAATCTCTCCAGGTAATGGATAAAAACTTTTAGAGATGTCCTTACTTTTGATGTCCGTTTTTATGAGATCAGCAGCTGCCTTAATCACTCTGATTTTATCTGCTTCAGGGTCAGCATCTCTAGAAGCGTCATAAAAATTTTGCAAGATGGTCTCGAAGCTGTACTCCTAAATGTTACGACATCAGCCTTACCATTGATACTAGCAATAACGATGTTTTCTCCAAAATGCTCTTTAAGTTTTTCTTTCATATACCGTGCGCTGTAAGGTTCTTGGTCGTTGAATTCTGCTATCTTATTCATAAGATCGTTCACAGTTATCTGCTCGTCATCGTTTTCCTTAAGATATTTTGCAACCTCCAAGAATGCCTCTTGCCTAGACTTATCAGTTGGCCTGCCTTTCTTTTGTCGTTTGCTTCCGTTAGTTTGATGAGAAAGCGGTACTTGCTTCCCCGTCCGAAAATTGATACTGCAAACTTGGTGATAAATTGCACCTGCTGCAATGAGATCTTGGGAAAAAGATATTCTGCCATGCCCTTTCTCACCCCAACCGTCTCTTCGCTCCTCACAAATTCGGTTTAATGTGGTTTGAAAATCTAATGTTCTAACAGGAAAAACATCATGTCCTCTTTTGTTTCCCGTAAGTTTAGCAGGCTGGCTGCAAAATAAACATCGTTCACCAAAATCAAATGTTGGTTCACTGGAACGCAGGGTACGACTTGCACTAGAGGATGTTTCTTCATCAGCCGTATGTTTCTTTATGTAGGAACGAATAACCTTTACATGACAGTATTTCTGCCTGCATTTTTTATGTACACGCCGTCCTGCAAAAGTTTGGAGTGTGTCGCCACGTAGTTTACTTGCATTGTTGATGCCATCGCTTCCTTTTTGCCTAAGTTCCACTGTTTCGAGGCCATTGGTTGATAATTCCTTGCAAATTACACAATACTCCATGGTGTGATGTTAACCGGACGATAAACCACATCTTTAACGATCTATACTTTACCTTCACACGACATTTTTCACTAAAGTACCACTCTGGACGTCCACGAATGCGTTTCTACCAATACTCGTCTAAATAAATGTCTTGTGAAGCGAAGAACTTTGTTAGTTTGAAGGCCAGAGAATCGTCCAGAGCAGTTGTACGGAGCAAGAAATTTCCAAACCAAACAATCGAGAGTCTTTAGAGTCACTGATACACATATATACTTATTGATAGAGAACTAATTCAAGGAAAACTGTTGTTTTCCAGTTCTCGAAATAAAATTTCTTCGATGTGATCAAAAAGTTGTTCAAATCTTTACATTTAAACACGTGCACGCATTTTGTTTTCCAATTACACCTATTGTTTTTAGCTGTTTGCTGTAAAAATTTACGCATATATTTTGAATAAATTGCGCGGCAGCCATTTTGAATTTAGAAAAAGAATTCAATCATAAAACTGTAATTTCATCATTTTATCCTTCGAAACGTTTGGTAGACTTTTGACATGTTATTTATAGGCATCAGTAGAATAACTTCCGGCAAAAAAAAATTCTGTTGCAATTACTTCAAGGTTCGGTCTTTTTTTCTCGTAGAATGACTAGACTATATGCCGGCCTGTTGTGCAAGGGACCCGCACTACTAGGAGAAAAGCCGCTGTAGAAAGGGGACAATGAAGAGCAGCTCGCTTTGTCACGGGAAATTATATTACGATCGAACAGCGAGCGTGACGGGAATGCTGCAAGATTTAAGTGGGAGACACTTAAAACAATGAGAAGATATGCAAGGCTGTCCGTTATGTATAAGATGTGCTATGGTTTCCTAGATAGGCAATGGGAACACTATTTGATTCCAAACAGAGAAAGGAGAACACCAGGAAGCCATGATTTTAAGTTTATTGTACCGAAAGGACACAAGGATACTTTTAGATTATCTTTCTCTCCCAGGCCCTGAGCTGGTTGTTCGAACTCTGGATAGCGCTATCCACCGGATAAATCACTATCCAGTGGATAACACAATTGGTTTTCATAATAATTATCCACTGGATAGCTATTTATCCGGTTGATAGCGCTGATCAACTTTTGGACAAGTGGGGCCAGGACAATAAGTGAACAGAACGAACTCCCGAAAGAAACGGTTACCAGTCAATCTCTCTCTATTTTTAAAAGTAAACTCTTTCAGGTTATTTTTTTTATTAGCGGTTTACATTAGTTTTATTTCTAGTTTTAGCTTTTATTATTATCTTGTATTTTTTATAAAAAATTTAGTGTTTTAGAGTTGGCGTGATGTCCCCTGGATGTTGCCCACAAATCAATGTTTAGACTTAGATTTAGACATGCTGGTTGTCCCAATGATTTATTAGTTATAGGAGTCCATCACACTTTTTTGGATAAGAATATATTTTATAAGAATATCAATGCTAAATTTAAAGAATATGATAAGAATAAACCCAAGGCTGAGATTTTGAAAGGGATATTATTTTGTGCAATGAAAATCTGCAGTGGAAATACAATGCAACTATATGTTTTTGACTTATTCGTAACATTATTTTTTTTTTTTTTTTTTTTTTTTTTTTTGTTGTTGTTCTTTATGGCAACACTAGACTCCAAAGGAAAAAAAATTCTTTAACTGCAATTTATACCCCCAAAATAATCTAAAAGGGGAAAGTCGACGGATATAATTTAAGAATGTTGCAAGAATATTTTCAGCCTAAAATCTGCAGAAAATAATGAATATTCAGCCAGGGCCGGAAAATGAATGCATGAATGAATGAAGAGTCGTGGATGAGAGGACAACAGACGTGCCCTCTTTACAATTCAACGTAGACAGACTGCAAATTATAGTAGTTGCTAAAAAAATACATCTACGTGTCCCAACTGTTCATCAGTAGGATGCCTAAAATGCGTGCAATTTCACTATTGGTTTCGGCTCCATTAAATCCTATACCAATTGCAGAACATTTTACAATTTTTCTTTACAGTACATTTTTAACTTGTGAACAGTTAGCTTGGACGTCAGCATACAAAGGCGTCACTAGCAGCCGCTCTCAGTCCATTTATGAGCTTATTGTACCCACCCACCCCATGATGTGAATGATTTGACGTGTGAAGGTTGACCACACCACCCGGGTATACGTCCCCTACTGTTTTCGAACAGTGGTGTGGGTTCTTTTACGTCCCACAAGAACAACATTCTTATATAAAAAGGAGTGTAAATGGCCGAATTTATACTTAACCAAATTATCTGTCTAGACGGATAACTCGTCTCCAGTATAAATTCGGCCAATGAATACAAAGTACTAGGAGTCCGTCGGGACTGCATCACAAGAATGACCAATAATCATCTGTCGCTGCCCAAACAGGCGTACTATTTCATTTTCTGGATTATAGTCTTGATATACTCCTTAGCACTCTTTTTCTGGAAATATAGTTAAAGTACTGCAGTTAAATGTAGTCTTGAAAGCAAATATGTTTCAAAAAACAAAGAAAAACCTGCTAAAATTTTATATCAAATTCATCTCAACCTCCTAACGCTATTTTGGTTTTATTCCTAAAATATAATAGAAATACCTCAAATTGTTGTAAAAATAGTTTTTCAATCGTTTAAATGGTTTCAAACTACTCTAAAAAAAGTTTTAAAAAAAGTTGATTTGGTGCGGGTAAACCAATGTGCAACACTGAGCAGATTAATCATTTTATAAAGAATATTACTTTCTTGAGAAAGTCGCTACATCGTTTTTGACCTTAATGAATGCTTCCAGTTCAATACGTTTGCATTGAGCAAGATTTATTTACAAATGGGAACTCTCCGAGCAACGTCATGCCACCGCTCTCCAAACCATAAAACAAAATCAAGTTGAGCGCATCGAGTGTTGACACGCATTAAATTAGCGCCCAGACCCCACCTGGTTAGTCACAAATTCACTTATTTCACATAGACCATATGCACGCACGCCTATCGGCAGAGTGCTCAATGGAAGGACAAGAGCGTTGAATTCTAGTCGATCTGATATCAACGTAAGATCCGACTTGGCATTTTATTACTTATTAGTTTCTTACCGCACAATATGTGCGGCATTCAGATAAAATTGCCAAATGAAATGTTCGTCATAACATACGCATATACTGCACACGCGCGCGCAGAATTTGAATCAGAAACTATTAAGTGACAACAGAAGATGTACAGCTACTAAGGAGGAATTTTCGCGCGTGCCTGTAAGAAGTTACAAGCTCATTTCGATAGTTCAGGCTCACCAGATCGGGTCTACAAATGATAAAATGTTATTATTACGCGCTACACAAAATTTTCATTAGGAACACGGTTAAGACCAGTTATAGTTGCATGCAAATCTAAAGCAAATAATTAATGGTCACAATGGCGGAATCCACCCTACGGAAAACAAACGCCGTACCATCGAAAGCATGCAACTGCCGTCGACCAGCTCATTGCCCGATGGACGGTAATTTCTTAAAATCGTCCGTGGTGTACCAAGCCACAGTGACAGTGGAGGACAACAGACCAACCGAGACCTATGTAGGCCTTAATGAAAACTCTTTTAAGACCAGATACGCGAACCATAAGTCATCTTTCAGAGACCCAAACAAGAGACTCAGTACAGAACTTAGCAGACATGATATCTGGCATTTTAAAGACGCTAAGATGTAATTTTATATAACTTGGAAGATTTTAGAGCAAGCAGGGCCTTTCAATCCCGCTTCAACCGCAGTAATTTGTGCCCCTGTGGGAAAAAATGCTGGGCCAGACCTAACTGTGGGTGGCTGGCTGCACGCTTTTTGTGTCGAAAGTAAAAGAGGTAGGGAGGGTAGATTTTTTCACTTTGAACAGAGTTTCAAGTCAAAAAGCACTGCAAAGTCAAGGAACGTTCCCTGTGTGCTAGCCCAGCCAAATCAATGCTCTGACTTATAATCATAATGCTACTTTCAGAGCTTGGGGGGGATTAATTGACTAGTCATAAGTGTCATGGAAGGGGAGGGGGAGTTCTTGCTTCTTGGACCTACAATCGCTGACAAAATTGCTGAGTCATTGTATTCAAATAGGGTAACGTCAGAGAACAAAACAATCCGCACCCCTCCCTACCCCCTCCATTCAAAGTTTGGGTGTTTGTTGTTTTCTGTAGATAGCTCGAACATCGGTATAACATTGCGTGGGGGCGGGGGGCGGGATGGGAGAGGAAAAGCTATATTTTCTCCTTTTGAAGTCAGTAAAACGTAAAAAAGCCCAGTTTAGGGCGAAGTGTCTCAAATCATTCTGTCGCCGATTATAGCTGTCTAGAGACTGAGTGCATGCCCTTTGTATCAAATTTAGTCAGATATTAAGTGCTTATCTGGGTCCGGTGGGTAATTTGATTGCCCGGGAATGCAATTCCCATTCCCTGGGCTAGCAGATGTTGTTATGTTAGAAGCTTAGAGATTGTGCTTCGGCTAGGGAGATCCTTGTTATTTTCTGTGTGATTTTGCTAAAAGGTGCCTGCTAGGTTTTCGCTTGAACACGGGCATCGCCTTTGTTCAAGCAAGGGTAGCCAAAAAAAAAAACAAAACAAAAACAGGAGTCGGGTGTCAGCAGATGGTCCAAGGCCAGACTTAACAATGTCTGAGCTGAATTTCAAGCTTGAACTCACCTTTGTGCTGAACGATTACATCCATTACAGAAAATGCCATAAAAAACTGATTTGATGACGCAACACAAGTATATCTTCCCGAGTCCTCCCGCTCTCTAAGGTTCCAGATTTTCAAAGTTCCGTCGGCACTGGCACTTGATCTTCCTGCAGGAAGCTTGCCGCCCTCCTTCCTCCACATGATAGTTGGTTGTGGATCTCCAGCGGCCTGACAGGGGACTGTGATATTCTGAACTGTGCTCACGTTAAGCTGTGATGGTGGACTAACTGTAAAATGGGGTAACTCAACAACGTTTAGCTGCGTAACAGCCGAGTCATGTCCTAAGTTATTTGAAGCTTCGCATTTGTATAGACCAGAATCACTTTTGTAAGCATTCATTATTGACAATCGTCCATCTTTCATAACAGTTCTGGCTTGCACCAGGTTTTCGGGAACTTTATGCCAAGAGATCTTTGGTGACGGGTAGCCAGTTACGTGACATGCTGGTAAGGTGATGTTCTTACCTTTAACGACATAAGACGGGCCAAACGATAAGGAAGTCTTCGGTTGACCTGTCGATAATAAAACAGCTAAAATCAATGACACACCAGCCTCATACAAAGACTTTAGAAAGTTGTTGTTGTTGTTTGTTTGTTTTAAATTTTCGGTCAAAAGCGTTTCTTTTATTACTAAATTTGGGAAGTATACATAGTAGTAATAAAAATAAAGGGAAAGAATACGGAGGGGTGGCTTTACGTTTACACACAAGCCATTATGCCGATTCTCCAGTCTTGGTACAGAGGACAGTACAGTCTGCATGAGGAGCCAACAATTATCACGTCAGCTCCATGTTTTTTTTTAAGCATCAGGAATAACTTTTTTTACGGGGCGCATAAAACATCAAAACTCAAACGTAAAAAGCCATTTCTGTGAAAGGGTCCTAGAAATGAACGTTCATGTACGCTGATCACTATTTCTGAATAATCAATTTCAGCTTACTTTGTACGGCCAGACTCGCTAGTTTTTCTTCTCTCCCTAAGACGTTTCGTGCCACACACTTGTAATTCCCAGCGTCCTCAAGTCGCACTTCATTAATCTGCAGCAGACCTTCTGATGAGACCTTTGTTCGGTTGCTAGGTAACACGCCGCGTACACGTGACCAAGCCACTTGCGGGACGGGATTTCCCGAAACAGAACACAGTAAAACCGCAGTGTTACTCTCGTTCACTGTCAGGTGAGAAGACGAAACTGTCACTTTTGGAGAGGAAATGGATTCCCCCGGTTCGCCTTTCATTCCCGGAATACCCGGTACACCTATATCACCTTTCAGTCCTTTTTCTCCTCTTATTCCTGGTGGCCCCATAATTCCTTGTTTTCCACTTCTGCCGGGCTGTCCCATCATTCCTTTTTTACCCCTCCTCCCTCGGTCACCTTTATCACCTTTTGGTCCATTACTCCCAGGAGGTCCCGGCAGTCCACGCGGGCAAACGTTCCAGGTTCCAGTGTTTTGACATATCTTCTTAAAGCTCGAAGTTACAACATCTTCCAGAATAAGTCTTATTTTCGTAGAATTTTCAAAAGGTTTATTACTGGTGACCTGTCTGGTAAATCTGTGGAGGACCATTTTACTATTATCTTCCTTCTTCTTAAAATCTTTCATGGTCACATTTCCTAAACGTGTAGGTACATAAGAAAGTATTAGTACGAATGTTTCCTTGACCCTGTAATATTTTTTTTTTTTCAGAATTTTTGAAACATTGCATAGAGTACGTTGACGGTTTCCCCAAGGAGTATCAAATTCCACTTTTAATTTAATTAAAACAGCCAAAATGTCACCAGCTAAAGTCCAAAAATGTACCAGGCTATTTCTATTCTTTGAATAGTGTTTTGAGCTAGGGCTATTGGCAAACTTTTTAAAGCCGGTAATGGTTTAAGACAAAACTACCATAAACAATACATGAAGTCATAGAAGTTTCACAGCAACAAAATTTAGAAAATGTCTCGAAAAGTTAAGGAAGTGAAAGCACTATTGTAAGGAACTAGTCCCGATTCACAGCAATTTCAAGCCCGGTTCCTGAGAGGCTGCTGATCAGCGTTAATCAGGTAGGCTTACAATTTATATCCATGATTGTATTTGTCTTCTAGTATCATTTTTCCGGGGGGAGAGGGCACTCAAGGGAAGTTTGGGTAGAGGTGTGTCGCTGAGGCCTTCAAACCCCGACTCTGTTTAAGACAAAAATTGCTCATTGCTCACCCTGTTTAAGACAGGAGACACTACTTTTTTAACCTGATTTGTTTTGTTTTGCATACAGAATTAAGTAATTTTTCACACTAAAATCGTGTAAATAGATATTAAGGAAAAAAAATTATTGGTATTGCAAATATAGACCACTCATCGCAAGTCTTCACACTCTTTGAAAGGCTTCCAGTCCAAAAAGACACCCTGTTTTTAAACATGGGGCATCATGGTGCATCATTAAAAGACTCAAAACCTTGAAAACCATGTTACCCTGTTCAGCGGCACACACCCATATAGGCCATATAAGGGAGTGCCCCACATCCACCCTCCCCCCCGGGCATTTTGTATATACCATAACGGGATCTTGTAGCATGATCAACAAAATTCTATTTCACATTACTGCATGACATGTTCTTAGACAAGAAAGCTTTGGATAAAGTTTGGCTTCAACTTGTCCGGTGAAACTTGGTACTGAATCGCGTCGTCTCCGGCGCCAGCCCGTCACCGGCCGCGTCATCTTAAAACGTACTCAAGTGTTCGAGATGATTTGAAGTCTGGTTTTCATGGATCGTGCCAATCGTCCCAAACGTTTTGAGTCGATCCAGAGTACATCTCTAGATCTTACCCAAGGCTAACGGGAAACTATTTTCAAGGAGACCGCCTCGGTACTCGGTTTATTACAACCGAATTCATCGTAAGATGAGATTTCCTGTCAGTATAATATCCGCATCATCATTTGTTGATCTCTATCACTTTCCACTTATTCAGCAGTCTACCAAAGAAATGACATTTTTGTATAACTGCTTGATGGCACAAAGAAACTTACGAATGGCGTGAATACAACAAAGATCTGCATAACGAATACTGTATATTATGAGGATGATCTGTATTGTGAGTACAGACTTCCTTTTAACCGTAGGTTTTTAAGGATGTCGTAAATCACGGAGCCACTACCTCGCATCATAGAGATGTCCGTATTGAGATAAAGGTTGTGCCAATTTTTGCATTGAAATGATAATTAATTTTCGCAAGATACTCTCTTGCTGTTTTTAATAGAAAGGAGATCTTACTTGGAGTGTTGTAGTGTACCGGCAACGATACAGGTTCAACTGTACCTTGAATTGAGGTATCGTCCATCATGAATCTTTGTTTTCTGGAATGCATTTGAGAAATGACATCCTCGACAGCCATCAACCTTGCTTCGTGATCATTAAACTTCAACTCGATTCTAATGAATCCAGCAGAATAAAGAAGCAAACAGAAAACTGACAAAACTGTACCAGAGTTTAGGCAGACGGCTCCACTTTTAGAAGACATCTTGTGCACAAAATAATTATAGTACCGTATGTGAACTATTCTGCTATTTAATACCCTGCTAATGACTGATTTGAATGCGGATTTCCGTTTCAGCAATAGCGTGTGTTTTTAAGTTATGGTATCAGTTATCGACACACGTACGAGTTCCAGTTATCAGGACGGTTTGTTGAATCAAGTCAATCAATTATTCGTATCGTCTGATTAGCCTTCTCCTGTTTGGGAAAGCGAAGTGAGCCGCGCAAGAAAATGCGAGCAGGCGGCGAAGCCGCGAGGGGCCTCCTGAGTTCGCGTCCCCTCTCGCGTGTCTCTCGCGCGTCTTCTTTTCACGAGCTTGCCCACAGGGAGCAGAGGAGTTCATTTTGAATTAGATAACAAAAAATCTCTTACCTCTTTGATTGCTGTAATCTGTTAATTCTCCGTGTGTTAGTTAGCCCCATGTGTGATCATTCTCGGTCGTTTAACCGTTAAGCAATTCCCTTCGATCTTCCCTTTCTTATACCTGCCAACTTTTTCTGAGATATAAGCGTGAGGTTTTTATCCTGGGAGTGCTGGGATTTTTGAAGACAACACGATCATTTCCGAAGATTCCCGAAGAATTCCGAAGTCTTCCGAAGACGTCCGAAGTCTGCCGAAGTCTGCCAAAGGCGAGCTCGCTCCCAGTGCTTTTCACTTCAAAAATCAGAGATCGCGAGGAAGGTATTGCTATTTATTCATTTTACACATGGTTTTCGTTCCTTACATGGGTCTGAGTTAACATATTTTTGGAAATTGTGTCAAGCAGGACGGCAACAACTCACATTTTTCAATCAGGCGTGAGAAATTGGCCCGCAGGCGTGAGCCGGCGTGAGATCGAAGTTTTCAACCCGCAGGCGTGAGACTCACGCCTAAGGCGTGAGAGTTGGCAGGTATACTTTCTCGGCCTTTCGCTCAACTCTTCTTTCCGACCGCCATTATTTTGAAACATAACAAACGCTGAATGAAGCGCTCGTGGGCTTTTTCGTTGACCTTCGGCTGAGCGTCTTCGGAAAGCGAAGCTTTCCGAGCGAGGCACGAAGTGCCAAGAGAAAGTAAGAGACAAGGGATGAAACTCGTACTACGTGACCTGTCCGATGTGGCCCGCAGCAACTGGTGACGGAAGTGAATGAGACCGGAAAAGGAAGAGCAGCAGACCATTACTTATTCGATGTTCAAAACATCAGCTGTTGGAGGGAGATTTAAATATGGAGAGTTGTAAGTTAAAAAGACATGCTCCGTTGCGCGAAAACCAGCCCGAGCCGAAAAAAATGAAACTAACGAACAGGGAGAAACACGTCTTCGTATCTAAATGGTAAGAGATTACAGCGAGAGGAAAGAAATATCGTATTTGAGTTCCTGATCGAACGGTCAGGCTAAACGTATTTTTACCGTTTTACTTGTAGGTTTTCACTGAATTATCAGATAGACGACCAAAACTTTACATCATTGCAAGGAACACTGGAAGATTATTTATAGGACTGCCCCGAAAAGAAAAATTTTCAATTACAAGTCATCGAACTGGGAAGGATTTTAAGAGAGGTTTTTCCAGAGGCGAACAGAGTCCAGGGAAGGGTAAACGGTTGCCGAACGTGGCAGTGTCCACTTTCGAAAAAATCAAATTTGGAAATAGACACAGTAAAGTGGGAAGACTTTCCCACTTTCACAAAAGAGTTTGGTTGGCTTTTGTCAAGTTCAAGAGACAATTTGGGGTAAAAGTCCAGTCACAAGAAATATGTGAAGGCAACAGAGTATTGAAAGAACTGAAAATCTTTAATGACTGGACATTTGCAGTACACGTCAACAGCCGAAAAGTGGCCAAAGAAACCGTGGGTATTTTCGAACTTAGGGCATTCTATTCTACAGGGTGTCCCAAAAGTTCGTTCCTCTACGTTATAAGTCTGTATTTCAGTTCGATTGGACTTGGTAAGCAAATCATTTAAACAAAAGTTGTGCCTTTCAAACTAATTCACTATTTTCATCCTTGTTGTGTTATCTTTTCACTCAAATATATTCGATTTGTGTACTTCCGCGCCAAAGGTACGCGTACGCGAGTGTATTTTCCAACCACATTTTTTTGTATTTTATAGCCCGAATTGCTCGAACTCCTTCCTTGTTTTTTGTGAATATCACGAAAGATAAACCCCCTTAACGCAAAAACGTTCCGCTACGTGAGAGCATAGGCATGTATACTTCGATTTATTGGCTTATCTGTTGAAGAAACTGCTTAAAAAAACTGGAAAAATCCGAATGTTGGGTGATTAAATGATCATGGAGAAATATGAAGCTTTTGAAGGCAACAAACGAAGGAGAAGACCAAAAGTCCTGAATAAAGCAGCTAAAATAGTTTTAAAGAAGGTCAGATACAAAATAGGAGACTCGACGAGGAAGCTCTCATATAGTTAGCAAGCAAAGTCTAGAAAGGATCATGAAAAGCTGTTTAAAATGTTTAAAATTACTAAAATTAGAGGCCCCTGAGAAGGCAAAAAAAACCTCTGCTTAATCTGCTTAGTAACGCCCAGCTCGTCTCAAATTTATAAAGAAGTACAAAAGCCTTGCTGTGGAAGGGGGCTGGGATGATTATCTTTTTTGGATGAATGCCCAAAATATTTTTTTTCAGCTGCCTAAACTAAACAAATATTGTTTGAGGGCTGAACTGGCTGCTGCGCAGCAGGTGATAAAAAAGCTCAAAATGGATCATCAGTGTGGGTCTACACGCAAACCCACTTCATGCCGCAACGGCCACAGAATGTGATAAAAAAAAATAAAAAAAAAAGGGCATGCCAGTTACTGAAATTCTGAATACATGTACTCGATAGAGAGATAAACATCTTCTAGAAATGTTATCTAAAAATAAAGTTTTGATCAAATGTTATAGTGCGTGAAATTAGAGGAGCGAACTTTGGGACACCCTGTATACGTACGTATTCTATTTCTTTAACCCACGCTAAGGAATCTTGAGAAGTACAAAAAAAAATATTCGCGTAAAGGAAAATGAAATGAAAAAATTCAAACACGCCAATTAATCCTAAAAATATATTCATGCTATGGCCTAAAAAAGATTCCTGAGGCTCGAGAATACACTTAGCCCCTTTGACCCATTTAGCGAAACATGCGATTTTAGCCGGGGGGAGGGGGGGTACTCCCTTATATAAGCTATATAGGTATGTGCCGCCCCATCGGGTAGGGTCTTTGCGTGGTTTTGATCTGAAAACGAGTATACACTTTGCCCATTTTGGTCTGGAATCGGGTATGGTTTTTGAGGGAAATACGGGATTCTATGAACGTCTTTATCGTTTTAATTCCAAATGAGTAAGGAAGAAAAGAAAAATATGCGAATTCGAAATGGATTTGAAGAATTTTTTTTGTTTGCGCTCTAATCTAAGTAATGATAACATCATTTCTGCCTAAAGGCTAGGCCTGAAAACGGGTATGGATTTTAGAGGTGTGGTCTGAAAACGGGTGTGGAAAATGACATTTGTTTGGTCTGAAATCGGGTCAGGATTTGGAGAACCGCGCGGCACACCTCCACAACGAATTCCCAGGAGTACCCCCCGGGGATTTTAGCCAAATTCAGTGGATTAAGTGGCTTACGCTTACTGGCTCTCCCTCATATCATTGTGTAGTTCAATCCTTCATCTACTGAATCGTGTTAAAAGTTTTAGCGGCCATTCAGTTTCGGTCGATTCTCCCCGTTCTTCGTTGGGTTAAAACCATAGCCACATGGAAAACAGTGATTGAAAGTATGCATCTTTAGGAATGGACAATTTTCGAGTGGCATTTACCCGATTTCTCGCTTTCTATTCTGACAATCCTTCTGGACTTCGAAAAAAACGAAACGGAAACGCTGGCTAAATGGCCAAGTAAGGCAAGTTTTGCCCTTCACCCCGAAGACGGTGGAACGTTTACTGTCCGCCATGATTTTGTAGGGTTTGTGGAACCTAGGGAATCTGGGATCCGGAATCCGGAATTCGTAACCCTTTCATATGTCACCTGTTGGAGACTATTATATAGTTTTATACTATTTCAATTAGGCGAAGCTCAATTCGCATTACAATAATTATTTCATCTTTAACTTCACAGGATATTGAACAGAATGTCTCAGAAACCTTGGCTGATCAAGGCATTAAGGAGCCCCTTTCGAACGTTTTGCTGCTATTCCAATATGTCCTCAGCTGTTACATAAATAATTATAGAAAATAACTAGGTATAGTTCCATTCTTCAGCTTCTGAATCGTTCTCAGACATTTAGCGGTCATCATCATCATGATCATCATCATCAATCTTTATTTATACACGAAATCGTATCATTTCACATGGTCTTCCTAGGAATCGTGTTTAAAACTAGACTAAAATACTCTAAGGAACTATTGACTATAATGTTAAAAATACAAAAACTTACATTATTAATGATAAGAGTTACAATGGGTCATGGTGTATTAGAAAAATCTTTCCCATGAATTGAAGTTTTAAAAACATTTAAACTAGGCAGTTTTCTAATCTCTGAGGGAATCTTGTTCCACAGAACAGATCCTCTGTAGTGTAGGCTCCCTTTTGCAGACTCAGTTCTGGGTCTGGGGACATAATAATTTAACTCAGAATTTCTAAGATTGTGTGAATGTACATTTGAGGTGTTGGTAAAGATCCGCCTCAGATACGATGGGGAAAGATTATTATGGATTTTATACATTGTCACAGCCAACTGTTTAAGTCTTACATATTCCAGCCTTTCCCAGCCAAGCTCATCCAACAAAACACTTGAGCGAACGTCATAGTTAGAAAAGGTGAGAATTCTAGCAGCCCCCTTCTGCAGCTTTTGAAGTTTGTCTGCTAGTCCCTTATTGAAATTACCCCATACGGCACCACAGTAATTAAAATATGGCATTACCAGTGCATTGTACATATTTACTCTAGTATCAAGTGGTATAAAATGACTTACACGCCTTAAGATAGCAATACCAGCAGATATTTTCTTTGAAATGGTATGAATGTGTGGGCGCCAGTTCAAAGATTCATCAATTTGAACTCCAAGGGATTTATGTTTAATTACTCTTTCTAAGGATGTATTATTGACTTTGACTGTGAAGTCACTATTTATTTGGGATAACTTAAACTGGCTCCCTATAAGCATGTGTTTAGTCTTCTTAACATTTAAAGTTAATTTGTTTGCTGACAGCCATGACTGGATTAAATTCATATCATAATTCATTTTATGTTCAAGGACACATGGGTCTTCTGCAGTTGTGGTAAGGGTAGTATCATCTGCATACATTCTGGGTTTTGGAAACAAATTACATGAAGGGAGATCATTAATATAAATAGTGAATAAGAGAGGGCCTAAAATAGACCCCTGTGGAATACCACATGTTATATTACAGAAATCAGATTGAACTCCATCAATGAACGTTTGTTGCTTTCGGTCAGATAGATAGGACTGGAACCAGTTAAGAGATTGAGAACTGACCCGATAGAGTTTAGCTTTCCCAGAAGGATAGCATGATCCATGGTATCAAAAGCTTTTTTCAAGTCCAGGAATATCACACCATTTAAGAGACTGTTGTCAATATTCCATAGCCATTCATTCGTAGCCTCAAGTAAAGCTGTTTCAGTGGAAAACATAGGTCTGAAGCCAGATTGTGATTCAGTTAACAAGCTATTATTATTTAAATATTCATATAATTGATTAAAAACAACTCTTTCAATTAATTTACTTACTACAGGCAGAACTGAGATAGGTCTGTAGTTGTTAGGATCAGTCCGGAGGTCTTCTTTAAATATTGGCGAAACTCTAGCTCGTTTCCAAGCATTTGGAAATATTCCAGTGGTAATTGACTGATTTATTATAAAAGTTAGACTGCGAGTAACTATGGGAGACGCTTCTTTCAGGAGACGTGCTGAGATGTTATCAAGACCACTGGCTTTATTACTCGGTATTTTCTGAATTAAATTGAAGACCTCCTGGTCATCCAGGAGGTCAGCGGTCATCCAGTTTCGACAGTTTCGTCTGAAACCGAGGGATGAAAGTTGCGATACTTAGCACGTCACAGCTAACGCTCTGCCCCGCTTAGATTACAAACTTAGAAATGACTACGGTATATTCCGTCTTCCACGAGAACTGAATCCCCCTCCCCGCCCTATCTCCATAAATGATTCAATAACAGATTTAGACCGTTCTCAATTACTGAGGAACTTTCAGTCATTCTTCAAAGCGGTCTATAGCCCACTGACCACCTAAGTCGCAGTTTACGGTACTGGCAAGCAACCAAAATGGCACATGTACCTGCGAAGTGTTCCTTTGCCGGGATAGCAAATATTACTTGTGGTTCCTCACGCGGTAAAGAATTTTTTTTTTCCACCAAATAAGTGCGTTGTCCAAGTAAAGAACCATCTAAGAACCTTTAACCTTTCACGTACGAAGGTCACCGAATATGACCTAATTTTGGCAAGGGCGGGAAAGTTTAATCGTTCGCATGAATAAGTAGAAAAAATGACTGTTTGCTTTGCCTATAGGCACAGTCTCGGTATAATTATGCTGGCGGCCACGTAAAACTGTCGGTATCCTTACCCTTCACTGTGAAAAAACAATTTTAACTGTTTTTTGGTTTTTGTTTTTTTTGTTTTTTTTGTTGTTGTTGTTTAATGGGTCATCATAAAACACAACCAATTATAACAATACATTTTGACTCCACTGCACAACATCAACAGACAAAGCGTAATGGCAAATAAGTCTATTTTGGGACGGCTTGGCGAGAACCAACCCTACAAAGTACTTATGTAAATACAATAATAGGTGATTACCGGTGAATACCTAACGTACGACACTCGTTAACTAGCTTTAACAAAAAAGAAAAAACTCGCGCTACAAATGGTCGCTCTTGACCTGAATCCCCCAGTTAAGCACGCAGGCTTAGTGCCAGTTAGGCTGGAGAAACTAATTAATAAAACTCTGACAACGGATAACTGGTACAGGGAACACGGTAGGAGCACAAAGGCTAAGCAAAAAGAAGGAACTGCTACAACTGGTCGATCTCGACCTGAATCCCCTAAATAAGCACGCAGGCTTAGTGCCACGGCAGTTAGGCTGCCAGTTAGGCTGGGGAAACTAATTAATAAAACTCTGACAACGGATAACTGGCACAGGAAACACGGTAGGAGCACAGAGGCTTAGCAAAAAGATAAAACTGCTACAACTGGTCGATCGCGACCTGAATCCCCCAAATAAGCAGGCAGGCTTAGTGCCAGTTAGGTTGGGAAAATTAAATAAAAATCTGATCAACGGATAACTGGGACCGGAAACACTACAGGAGCACAGAGGCTGAGGGCCAGGAAAACTGGGATTATCTTCACTAATCTGCCCAAGAAGGCACGTAGCCCAATAACCAGTAAGGCTGCCATAAAAGGCTGGGGCAGGACATTGAGGGTAAAAAAAAATGGATAACGACCCTGGCTAGAGGTCTGTAACATTGCCTGCAGCTAACTGCGTCAAAAGAGACTTATATCGCCTCCTAAAGAGCGGTTCCGAGACAGCTGACCTAAGCATACATAGAAACTAAATATATCAAGTAAAGGAGCAGGTGTAAAACTGAGATAACTGTACAAGTACATAAAATAAGAAACGGAAAAAAAGGCTGAAAACTAGCAGAGCTGAGCTAGCGCTCACAAACTGAAGTAAATGCGGTCAGACGGAGGCCAGAAAAAACCTGCCCAAAAAAACCCGAAGGGAAAAAATGCGGGCAGGAAATCTGGTTTGGAACCAAGGTTCAAGCTCAAAGCCCTTCTTACGGGACTTTACAATGTAATCGAGAATATTTAGGTTGCTCCTTAAAATTAAATAAAACAAAAATTTAAGAAAAACCAAAGAGAGGTAAGTTCGTAAGGCTAGATGACGTACACGTGATATATGCAGCCTTATATACCTCCGATATGGTTACCCATGGTGCACCCGGCCTACTACCCAGGCCCTGTTGTATCTCGTGCCGTCAAAATATTTATTTCTGCGTTCTTCGCGGGCTCATTCGTCAGAAATAATATAACTCTGACAGTTATTGAATTTCTTCAATTAACTCCCCCCCTCCCCCCTCCCTGCGGTGATTGATATCCCCTTTTTCCTCTTAGCAGTCGAACATTTTCCCTTAAGGCTATGATGCACATGTATGTCTCAGGGTTTTATTTTCAACTTCCTAGTAAGAAAATCCCGACGCTTTATTAGGGGCCTGGCGTTTAATCGAGTAAAATACAGCATTTCAAAACAATTAAAATTATCTTTGTTATCTTTCTAAAACTTTATAAGGGCTAAATGAAACAAACATGCAGTTACCCAAATAGCCTGCGTCACAGGAGTTAGAAGGGGAAGGGGAAGGAGGAATTTGGGTGCGCGAGAGCGCGTGGGGCGCGCGAGGGAGAAAGGAAAGGAACGCCTGCAAGGACGCCATTGTTTTTTTCACTTTTCACGCCCAGATTCTTAGCGTGAAAATAGCGATTGATAAGAATTAATTAAATGTCAATCTTCGACTTCATACCTTTTTCCGAATGGCTGAAATTAACATCACGCCATTTGAGTAACTAACATATGCCGTTAGTGAAGCGCGATAAGATTTCTCTACGGGAATTCATCGTTAGAAGGCATCCATTTCAGCTTAAAAGGAGAATAGAAAAAAGTAGTTAAAGAACCGTATGAAGGAAAAGGCCTGTCAGCAGATGAGTTTTACTGACTGGTTCTGAAAAGTATCATCTCCCAACGGCTTGTCGGTTTTACTCGCCAGAAGAAAGAAAGGAAAAATCATGCTGCCTGTGTGCTTGTTATCTGCTGTTTGATCCGCGTTATCAACGGCAAGATAATAGAAGACGAAGCGATCTATAACTTTTGGCGATTTTTGGTTGAGGACTTGTTCTTGCCGGTTAGAGCGGTTTTCACTTGACTGTCGTAAAACCAAAACCAAAGTAAATACACTAGCCAACCAAAGGGCGTAGTAAAACCAAAACCAAAACCAAAACCAAAACCAATCCCTTTCGACAGTCAAGTGAAAACCGCTCTATAAAACCGCCAGGAACTTACTTTTGCCTTCTTGCAGATCTTCGAAGTTCAGCTCTTCTTTCCCCGCCACCAGCGTTCTTTTGTGTGCTCCGCTGGATCCAATTCAGTCCTGATAGAAATTCAAAGAGTGCGTGACGGCAAAGTGTTTTAATTTTTCTCAGACAAACATTGCATTGAAAGTTGCGAAGAGCCGCTACATTTCTTATTAAATAGTTTTCCAGCCCGATTCCTTCAGCAACAACTTGAATAGATTTATGCTGGATTTTATGTAACTCGTGACGCGTCGTTGTTTTTTATGCCGCAACAGAAAGGTCCTTGTTTGCTCTCAGGCGTTTACGTAAATTACGAAAGAGGAAACCATTCCCCCCCACCACGTTGAAACTGATTTAAGACCGCAAACGTTACCTTACTTTGTGGGCTCGTGGTTTTCCGCCGTAAGCGGCTAGAAGTTTCCGACGGAAAGCCTGTTTACCCGAAACTTTCTGTCAGTTCTGGTGTAAACCTTTTGCGGAGTAACAGTAGCACGGCAAACAATGCTTGCGATAAGGATGTGTCTACACTGAATTTGGGGTGATTTTGGAGAGGAGACCACACGTAGACCGAGCTTACTTGTTGTGTTGTTTATTGTTAAACTTTGATTTCGCCTCGGTCGATAATCGTTGTAAAATATTCATTGGTCGTAAGGCTTTGCGGTTATCACTTTTTTTACGTGTTGTTATGTTATGGACAAAGTTCGGGATCTTCCTTTTTATCTTTTACCTGGCAAAACCTCAAGACTACTCCTCAAGTCCACATTCCAAAACTGTAAGTACCGCTGAATGTCTTTAGTTACTATTATGTAATACTAAAGGATAAAGAATAATATATACTAAACAAATACACTGAACTTTTCCCTGTATGTAAAAAAAAAACCGACAACTAGATAAAAGGGTGAAACAGGTTAAGTACGCTGATGTATATGTGGATCTTGATGTAAATGTGTGAGAATCTCGATGTGCGTGTGTGTGATCTTGTACGAGCAAATCTTGCTGTACGTAAGCGGAACTTGATAAATATTACTTTCATATGATGTACTCTTATGCGGATCTTGATACGCGTGTGTAAATGTTGATATGTATATTTAAATCTTGTTTTAGATAAATTTACATCTTGATGTATGTAAATTAGTCTTAACACTGATATATGAAACTTGATATATATAAATCTATCTTGATGTATATAAATAAATCTTGATATATTGTCCCTTTTGGACAAGGATAGCGGTTTGAACTTCGTTGAATACATCTAAATCCACACTGGCTGCCAGCCTTGACAAATGATATCAGCGAAGCTTGGTGCGACCGAAACAACACATAGTCAGTAACACCTTCATTAACATCCCGTTCCAATCTTCTCGAAAGATCTATTAGGTGTAGACGAAAGTTTTGCAAGAAATGCGATCGCTCAGGTGTCAAGTTCATTTCTAAGAAGAACGATCAAGGACGACGAGCGGCCATTTTTGATCGATGACCCGGAGACACTGGGAGGAGTTTTCGGTCCTTTTTGTGTAGAAGTTCGCAAGTCATTCTGTTGTGCAGCGAAAGCGAATTCAAAAGTCATTTTGGGAGTCACTGAGTCGCGTTTCGTGTTGGGTGTAGTGAAGCACAATAGCGCGTTTTCGACAGTGACGCGGGTAAACATATCCATGGAGTCGAAATCCCCATGTAAAAAAGGATCCTTCATTTCTTTTATCAAATAATCCTCCCGTTACGTATTTTGCAAGTAAGCATGCAAACGGATTTCAAAAGTAACGGACGATTTGAAAAAAAAATGTCTTTAAGAAATTGTTTCTTATGGTTTCATCATAAAATAATCCTACTGCTACGTAATTCTCAAGTAAGAATGCAAACAGATTTCAGAAGTAATGATGGTTTAAAAAAACACGTATTTACGAAATTGATCATCGAATAATCCTTCGAAAGTAAGGATGCAAATAATTGATTTCAAAAGTAATGCGGGTGAGTTTAAAAAATCGTATTTAAGAAATTCCTTTATTTTTTCCATAGAAAGCCTCCAAAAAGGTTTCAAATTAAAGTAATTATGCATGCACATAAACCATTCTCAAATCAAATCGAGTAAGAAGTGTGGATTTGAAAATCATGACAGGACGAAAGGATTCCATCGCAAGACAGCACGTCAAAACAGGTCACAAAGCGACAATCATCATCTAAGACAATCATTTATTTGGCAACTCAGTTTGTGTGGTAACTACACACTTATTTTTGACCCTGAAAACGCGCCATAGCTATTACCCAAAACTAAGTTTGACCAATTCTGTACGCTCCTTTTTCAAAGCTGATTTTGACCAATGCAATAAAACGAAAAGCATAACTGATACAGAAAGCATAAAAGTACAAGAAGGCATGTTTAAGAAGGGAATCCAATACAGTCTTGAATTCTGAATACCACGTCGTGGATTTCAGATTCCATGTGCTGGATACCAGTCTTTATCAGTGAAACTTTGGACTCTGGATTCCAATGGTTAATGGGATTCTTGATTCCTTGAGCTGTATTCCGTATTCCAAAGCCCAGGATTCCTGATTCCACAAGCAAGAATTTCTGACATTCCGGAATCCGGATTTTATTACACGGGGCAATCTAGACAATTTACGTTTACTTTTACAAGCCATAGTGTTTATATACAGTTCGATTTTACGCAGTTTTCTATTTAAGCACAAATATTTCGACCCTCAGGCAGGGATGAGAGTAGTGAGAAACTGGATAAAACCGAACAAATCTGGCTTTCACGTTATGCCTGAGTGAGTGTTCTACAACAGTATTTTGATCCTGGTTTCCTGGAAACACCTACAAACGAAAGAGAATAATATCACTGAAAGTAAAAAATAGTGTTTCTGTCCTGGTTTCCTGAGAACACCTACAAACGACACAGAATAATATCAATGAAAAAAAAAAAGAGCACATAAAAATAACATTAACAACACTTTTTACATTAGAATGGTTGTGAATTTGTCAAGAGTATTTTCGCGATTGTTCCTCACTCGTCAGTCTCGGCTTTAATACAAGTATATTGTAAGGTTGTAATATACGTGCAATAGTTTCAGAGGTGCCTCTGATGTATAGGGCCAGAGTTGGTCTGAGTGTTGGAATCAACACTCAGACCAACTCTGGCCCTATACATCAGAGGCGCCTCTGAAACTATTGCACGTATATTACAACCTTACAATATACTTGTTGCACACAAACCGATAACCACTTTACTGCGACTGCTTAATAATGTCAAGGACGAAGACAAACCAGAGGACAGACAGGGAGCAGTATACAAGATCAAATGCTGCGACTGCCAGGCTTCTTACATTGGTGAAACCGGCAGAAACCTAAGCACGCGACTGACCGAACACAAACGAGCGACGAGTAATGGTGGCGTCAACAATTACATAAATTGCGTTCACAAGGGCGAGGATCATTCTTTTTTTTTATTTCTACTATTTTTTTTGTTCCTAATTACTGTAATAACCGTTAACTTCAACAAGTACACCGGTAAGTCACTGATGAAATTGGAAAGTTTTTTTTTTTTTTTTTCAATTACTGGTGTTTATGCTGCCATTCCCATAACAATATCTCCCCTTGGTTTTAGGCTTTAATACGAATTACGAAAAACTTTTCACAAATTGGAGCACCGCTTAGATTACTACAAATTGTGTCATATCATTATAAAGCGCATCAGAACACATGGTTGTAAAGTCACAACAAATCACAAAAGAGGGAGTAAAAAAAAAGAAGAAAGAAAGGCATAGTAAGAAAGACAAAATATACTGAGAGAGTTAATGAGCTTACTCTTTCCACATTATTTTCATTGTAGGTGTTCCAAGTGATTGCGTTTGATGAAAAATGAAGTTTGTAGCTAGTCACCCAGTGATTCCCACTCTTATGTCCTTGTGTTGCCACCGCACAAACAGAGTACTCCTTACCCATATCAACTTGAAGGTAGTCTGTTCTGTCAGTGGCGGTCTTTGCACACCACGCTCCATATCCCCTCCTGCCATTTAGTCTGCCGTAATATGGGTAATAGTGTTCACTGTGGAACGTGCTTGCCGTCATTTTAGCATCAGGTATCTTGCTTGTGCTTGCTACTCCTACCGGCATGCATGCTGCGAACAAGAAATTATCTCAAGGAGTTAAAGATTTTAGTGATTTCCTTTAGTAGGGAAGTTTTTCCGCCGATAGAGTTGAAAGTAAAAGGTGCAAACATGGGAGAAATGAAGAAGTTTTTAGATAAAACAGTCAAACGGCGTTACTTACTTGGAGTTCCTTTCTTTCTGTTGGTGGACAGATCTTGGCAGGTAATCTTATAAGAAACAAATTCAAATGACAAACAGCACAGTTTGCTTTTTGTCTTCACCGCCTTTTTCATAGCAACAACCAGCAACCATGATGATGAAACAGTTAAGGGAAAGCATCGTGCAACAAAAAGTCATTGAGCTTAAGTATTACTGATAGATGTATTAAGGATTCTTAAGTTCTAGAAATGCTAAAATTTTAATCTTTATTAAAATATAAAAGAAGTTGAAAAGCGGTCTGACAAAATATAGAAGTCTTTTATACAGTATGAGAACATGAAATGTTTGTATTTCGTGTCATGTGTACCACCTGTTAAAATCTATTCGTATTATTCATTTTGGAAACGGGAAACACCGCAAATGGTCTATGCACAAGCATTTTAACTAGGTTTTCCTTAGACAGTTTTAAAAATGGCAATGTCGGCTTCATTTTCAAAAAAGACGTGCTGACCTTAATATGTCCATGATAAGAAGATCCTTTCCCCTTTATAAAGCCACGTGGTTTCATCTCTCTTGTCTGATTGTTCAGCTCACAAACGCGTTTTGTAATATCCGCAGTAGGATGGACATTGAACGACTTGCAGTTGCTATTTCCGAGGCATTTTTGGTGACATTCAAACTTGTTAGCAACAGTAGACGTATTCATTACATGACCAACTAAAGAAAAGTCTGCCGGCGGATTAGAAAACAAAGGATAAACTGAGAAATAATTGTGCTTAGAGATACTTAGGTAAAGGTTAGGTTAATGATCAATGATAATTTACATTTATATAGCGCAAACCTCGATATGAATATATTCGGTTGCGCTTTACAATATTGTTATATTAAATTTATGTTAAAGGTGACTAAAGCATGAGAAACTATTAAAAACTACAATAAAAAGTATTAAAAAGTATAAATAATAATAATTAAAAAACTACAATAAAAGCCAACAATTAAATCTATTTAAAAGCTAAATTAAAAAAATGAGTTTTATCAGCAGTCTTAAAAGTGTCCATTATGTTGCGAGCTGCCGAAGGTAATACATTCCAGCCGGATAAGGTGCAGCTGACTGGAATGCACGATCGCCAAGAGTTAGATGGGTCTTAATGCCTGGTAACTCGAGGAATATAGACTCATTTGACCTTAGAGAGTACCTGGATTGCTTTTTGATAATAATTAAATCAATTAAATAATTAGGAGCTTGACCATATAAGCACTTAAATGTCAAAAGTAGAATCTTAAGCTTTATACGGTAACTTATCGGAAGCCAATGAAGGTGGAAAAGCAATGGTGTAACATGGCCGAATCTTGGTGTTGCGCGCGGTGACCAACCGAGCTGCGGCCGTATTCTGTATCCGTTGGAGTTTCATGATATGTGAATTCGGGAGGTCATATAGTGGACTGTTACAATAATCTGTTACTGTTTATAAAAGCGTGAACTAATGATTCGGTGACTGAACGACTTAAATATTTCCTAATTCTACGCATGTTATAAAGATAATAGAAACCGGATGAGCAGGTTTTGTTGATATGAGCTTAGCATACACATTTTACAATCAAACCAGGTTCCTAGGTTTCGAACTTCACAAGATGGAGCAATTTGGGAGGAGTCCCCGTCCGATAAGGTACTGATGTTACTGACTTTCTGAAGTTGCTGTCGCGTTCCAATCAAAAGACATTCTGTCTTATCCGAATTCAGTTTTAACTTATCCGAATGCATCCATTGACTGATATCAGCAATACATGATTCCATGGCAGTTATAGCAGCGGTCTTCTCTAAATCATTTCCTGATCTAAACGCGATATACAGTTGCGTGTCATCTGCATAACAATGGGAATTAGGAAGATGTGATTCGACGATATTAAAAAGTTTGCTAGCATAGAGTGAAAACAATAATGGCCCGAGACAGCTGCCTTGTGGAACTCCAAATTTAAGATTAAAATTACTCGATAGAACTCATTTTATAGAGATGTGCTGGGTTCTGTTAGAAAGGTACGATTCAATCCAACTAAGTGCAGAGCCTGAAATTCCAAAATCAAACTGGAGGCGATCTAAGAGAATCCGGTGGTCCACGGTATCAAACGCGGCGCTTAAATCAAGAAGCACTAACAACGTGGCACCTTCTGATTTGGTTCATTTGGTTAAGCAGTGTACAGATTTTTGTCGTTAGACAACTGGAAAAAAAAATGGAATTGCTTTTTATTTAACTCGTTTCTGTGGAAATCCGTTATGATGTAATACTACCCATTAATGAAAATGATGAGTTTGAAAAGTTGTTAAGAATAATTGGACTTTAAAAACTAAATCTCCTTAGTTAAACTAGCACTTAAATAACAAAAATTCACTTCCCCGCGAACCATTTCAACTATCAATATTACCTACCAGCTTGAGTTTCAAAAACGCTCGCACAGAAGTCCGAATTCGGCATCACCAATGACGCTGCCATCAGCACATTAACAATCCGAAAGAGCAAAGGAACGGTGCACGAGACATCATTGGGTGGAAAACTGAACATCCCTGTAGCTGATGGTGGTAAACTTATCACTCTTGTAGCCTTGATGTTTTAATTTGTTAAGCTGTAAAAGTCTTTTGGAAACAAAGTCATTTATAATTCATGCGTGTTTGAATAGAAAATTAAGACTCACTGTGTCAGGTATCATATGCATGATTTTAGCTTTATCACTAAATTTAATTCGAATGATGTAAGCCTGCAAAACTAGCGTCTTTCCTTGAGACGAGCAAGAAAAAGGTAAAATAAAGCAATATGTGAACAGTCCCTATATACGCCTTAATGCATTACTCACTGTGAAGAACTTGTTGTCAGTCTGTAGATTAGCACCTATGTAAACAATACACCGCCGTTATCTATGATTGCTCACAACTATTAAAGAAGCCTTTTTGTGACAGCTATTTCGTTCTTACTGGGTTCGCTTAAACCACACTTTTGCACTTAGGCATGTCAGTCAGCCACTATTTTCGAAGCTATCGAAATATTGTAAACTAATGTTAAGGTATGTTTCTTACATGTCGGTATTCCTGTTTTTTGCGCTTGATATTGCCGTGTTTTTAAAGAAATAAAATTGTTTACTTTTCGCCTGGCTCCATTAGTAAATTGGGTTTAATTATTAATTGTAATTGCATATTTTATTTATTCACCTTTTTTTCCTCAGGCATGTTATTACTCCTTTCGGAATTGCAGTCACGTAGCACAAACAACTGGCTAAAATACGCCTGACCAGAGCCTGTATCTTATGCGGTAACAGCATATTGGTTCAACCAATTTGGTTCAAAAAAAAACTCGAGCGATGTAAAACCGGCCCGGGGGGGGATTTCTGGGTGGGGATGTGCTTCTGGGACCCTGGAACCCTTAACCTATACCAGGGCTAGTTTAGCTGAATTTTGCTACCCTATACTAGAGTAAACTCCCCAAATCCCCCCTATCCTAGAGTAGCTTTTTTCCAGAAACTACTGAGGTCACTAACACAGTCTAGCCAAAACAAATCCTTTTCCCACAATCCCCAGTCTAGATAAAATCTTCAACCAACTGATCAGCTGTTTCCTGAAAAATGGTACCCTATTCTAGACTCAAACGGTCTGATTTATATACCCTTTCCTAGAGTAAACTGCTTAAAAACCATACCCTTCACAGCGGCACATACCTATATAGCCCATATATGGCAGTATCCCCCCCCCGGAAAACCGGCCACATGGTTAGCATGGGGATGGCTAAAAAAAGAGACTCTTCCAACACCATTACGGAATTGCACCTATTGATCTACGTCGGCCCACGGCTCCCGTGACTATTTGCGCGCCCACAAAGGATGCCGTCGCATATCGCGTCATTTGACTCTAGACACAGGCGGCCCAAACTCAGGTTACGAGGGAAGGGTGTAATGTATTTACATACCATAGGTAACGCGCCGGTGTCGCATTACAGGCGACCGTTGAAATATAAGAGACTTTGTATAAGAAACATATTACTGAGATCTGCGAACGCTAAATGACGCTAAACGTAACTTTTTCTTAAATGAAATGGATAAAAAAGACTTACCTGCAATGTATTCCACTGCGTTTTGGTGTCTGTTTGTCGTTTTACTGTTTTGACGAAATTCAAATCTGCTGCAAATTTTTCAGCTCCAGCCCAAGAGGAAAACCTCATCTTCCTCTCTTCCTCTCTGGGAGATCGGCTCGAAAAAAGATCCATAATTTCTCCAACAAATCGAGCCATTTGTGCCGGACTTCGAGTCACGTCTGGCTTTCGTCCAGTGCCTGTGACTACTTACACGACGGGTGCAAGGACTCACGTTTTCACAGTGCAAGAGCCTAGTTGACGTGTCATTTCCGCCCTCCTAATGCTCTCGTCGTGTAAGTGCTAATTGTCATAAAGGAGTTAGTTGGTAAGCGCAACAGTGGTCACAGGTACTGAACGAACGCCAGACGTACTTTCGCAGATCTCAGAAATATATTTCTCATACAAAGTCTTTTATATTTTCAACGGTCGCCTGTAACGCGACACCGGCGCGTCACCTATGGTATGTAAATACATTACACCATTCCCTCGTAACGTGAGTTTGGGCTGCCTGTGCTGTAGACTGAAGTTTTAGCATATTGTTTCCACGATGCAAAGGTAATGAACTTAAGCAAATCGATAATTCGTAGCCTTCACGCTACTACTATCTGCAAACGCTCAACTTGTAAATTATTTTGACTTTATAAAATATAAGCCGGTAGAATGTTTAGAATGCCAGAAAAAGAAACGGGAAGTCCAACAGTTTCAGTATGCAATTCACCTACCCTTTCGTTTACTTTCTATCAAAGTAAAA